TTTTTTTTTTGTATCTACACTTCTTATTTTACAAATTATAATGAACTTTACTCAATATGAAACCATTTTTTTTTTTATATGTAGAACAATATGATTTTTTTTTATTTTATTGTATTTTATTTTTTTGTAGAACAAGATAGGATATCTCTCTATTTGACATTCAATTTAAATGTATCAAATGTGACAGTGATGGCACCATTTTACATGCATGCTTTCACATATAAGGTAAAAGAAAACAACTATTTTCAAGATTTTATTTAATTTGATACTTTATTTATCAACAACAGATGAGGCCATTTGTTAGTGGATTTATGATAGAAACTAGACAGCTAAGAGTTGTAATAAATTTCTACCAGAATTGCATTTATTAGGTTTTCTACAGTATTTTGGGTCAACAAGAGCGAGTTTATTGGTCAAATATAGATACATTAACCATCAATTACGCAATAACATCAAGATTCTTACCACGTTTTTTCCACGTGGCATCAAATTTGCTTTTCTTTTTCCAAAATATTTGCTAGATTCAAGATTAAAAAAACGCGTATTGAAATTATATTATTATTATTATTATTATTATTATTATTATTATTATTATTATTATTATTATTATTATTATTTATTTGAGTATATTATGGTCACTTTGCAAATTTATGTGACACTTGTAATACATTATTTATTACTACTAGATTGTAGTTTTCCAATATTAGTCATGTATTCGAAATGTAATTTTTCACAAATACTCATCAAATTAATAATAATTTTTGTTTGAATTCCACGTGTATCGTCTCACATCACGTCCCACGTGTCACGTCACTCGACACGTCCTTTTTTATGGAATTTAGTAATTCCGTAGCTTTATCTACGTTTGAAAAATAGTTCCGCTGCAATTCGGTTAATCAATTATAGTCTCAATTTTAACATTCAACTAATTTGACGACAACAATTTTGGTTGACAATACGAGTTTGTGACGGAAAACTAGAATAAAGCGGTACAAATTTTATTTGAAATTTAAATTATTTCTCTCATTATTCAATTTCCCCTTTTCCTAACAATTATTTGACCATAAAATCAAGGTTTTGCATTGTCTATAACAACTTTAAATCAAAGGAAAAAAAAAAAGTCATAAAAAATTCAATAATTTCAAACTCAACAAAAGTTTCAGCCTTTGCATATCTTTTTTTTTTCCCATTTTGTCACGTAACTATAAAGTCTCATATGAAAGACATATTCATAGTCAAAGAATCCAATTAAAAAGTACATGCAAACGTATTATATCCCTATTAGATGGCCCAAAATTTCACTATCAACAGATAAGGACAATATGGTCAATTCACATCTGCCTGCCATTAACTCCAGTCTGCCCTTGTCCCCTTCCAAGTGTCGGAGTCCCAACTGGCCCCAGCGTCGGTGACCCTGGCACCTTGTTTTCATGAATCTCTCCCACTCCCAGGGGTATTTTCGTCCATTCAATGCTTATTTAAATTAATCGATCTCAATTCATTAACTAAATTAATTGATAAATGAGTTCGAATTTGGCTAATTTATGAATATTAGTAATTGAACTCGAATTTTAACAAATTATATTTTTATAAAATTGTGAAAAATTACATAAAATTTTATATCGTCGATCTCAGCTCTACTTATTAACTAAATGAATTCGAGTTCAACACGGCGTCGAACAAACTCTGTCAAGCTCAAGTTTTAAGAAGGTGAGCCCACGAACAACTCGTTTTGCCAAACAACCACTTTGCCAAAATTATATGGATAGTTCAATACAACTATTTGGTTGGGTGGTAAAATTGTCCATTTCTCATAATAGTAAATGTTAAAATAATTGGATGTATAATTTTGTCTAATTATTTATTGGTACCTCTTAGAAATTATTCAAATTATTGACCCAATTGCGAGTTAGAAAATAATAAATTATAATTTAAATTTCGATTTGAATCAAATTATGATGCATGAACATAAAATTTATGTATACATTTTTTTTAATGAAACTATAGTATGTATTGTATAATTATCACAAAATTATTTTTAAACTACCTTAGTCAATTATATTATTTTACAAAAAAAAAATGAATTTTTATAATAAAATATGTCGTACTTTTGTTTGTAGTATAATTTAAAGTATCAAATACTACGAATTATTTATATTTGTTGGAATACTATAAAAAGTATTATTAATCTAATAAGTTTTTAAGAAATAATTTACATCTATTTATCTAAACATCATCATAACAAAACCTTTTATATGTTAACCAATTAAATCCCCATTAATTAAAAATACTTGTTCATTTATCAATTACTTTATTTGTTTTGCTCCAAAACTCTCTCTCTCTCTCTCTCTCTCTCTCTCTCTCTCTCCACACCACTGAAGCTTCGAATCTCAGGAGAGTGCTTTTGGCGATGGTGACACCTAAGACGGCGCATTCTATATCTCAATACCTTCTACCGACGGCCGCTTAGGCTAATCGGTGCGCTTTCACGTACTAAGGCGTAACCGGAGCCACCGTATAACTCGGCAATGGAGGGCCGAGCGGCGGCCATCTCTTCTCTGTTTGTGGCGATTGCGGCGGTGATCGCTGGTTTCTTTGCGGCGGTGGATGCTACTACTGATCCTAATGACGGTGAAGATTTAAATTTTAGTTTATTGAATCTTGGTTCTTTTTTGTTGGTCAGCTGCTAGGTGTTGAAGAGAGAATGAGATTCGTGAAGAAAATGACCGGCCTTTTAGTATCAACCGGCTGCTTTAAAGAGCTCTTGATTTTTATTTTAGCTGATTGTGAATAAATTTTGTATATTGGCAAAATTTTGTTTTGAGAAAATTTTCGGCTTCTTCGATGTGGGTGCTGAATTTGGAACGTTGGTGTGTATATTGGGGAAAAAAATTAATCTTTTGGCTATTTTTGGAGTAATTTTCGTTCAGAATGTGTGAAGAAAATAGTTTCACTAGCAATGATGATATTACTTTACTTCCAAAATTATCAATAGTTTTTATTTTTAACCAACTGTTAATGTATGTAATTTTTGTTTGGAGATGCACTTTTTTTTGCTCTCACTGTTCGTCTAGATTTCAGATATGCTTCATCTTGTGCCCCGAATATGCAAGCTTTCCTCTCTTCCCGTTACGGAATGGTTCCGTAACGGGACCGTAGCATCTCCCCTTATTTACATTGGTAGAGTAATGCTCCCCTTATTTACATTAGTAATAGTTGATTTCAGATAATATGTCATAGGATCTGTGAGCATTTCTTATATGGAAATTTATTTCCTAAAGAAAAATAAAAAAAAAATATATATATAAATAAATAATTTTACGGCATTTTCAGCTGCGTGGAACAGTATATCATATATGACAGGGGATGAGTGCAATATGGGTGTGTTTCCATGTTGACACTTGATGAAGCAAATTTGTAATTGCTTGTTGATTGTTAATGATTTGAATTTGTTCCTCATGTACTGGGATTGACTGCCTAAGAAGATGTTTCAATTGAGTCCCTAACCGTACTCGTTTTCTGTAGTTCAAGGGCTCCAGGTACTTTACACTTCACTAAATAGTCCTCCACAGCTAACTGGCTGGAAATCAAGTGGTGGTGATCCGTGTGGAGAGTCATGGAGAGGGATCATCTGTCAAGGTTCTTCTGTTGTCTCTATGTAGGTGATAATATACTTGGTTTTTTCTAAAAAAAAAATAATTATATATATTATGTTATTTGTTCATTATTTTTCGGACTCGTGCGAAATTTTTCTTGCAACAGCCAGTTATCTGGAATGGGACTCAATGGAACAATGGGATACTTGCTAAACAACCTTGCTTCAGTTACAACACTGTAAGAACCTGTTGTTTATTCAGTATGAATGATAGATGGCCATGTTTCTCTACTTTATTCCTTTATGATTAATATTTTAGTTTTTACTTTTTTTTTTCTTTTTTTCTGCAGAGACTTGAGTAACAACAATATTCACGATTCAATTCCATATCAGTTGCCACCGAACCTCACAAGCTTGTAACATTTCATTTTTATGTTGACCGTCCATTTCTCATGGTAGCTAGTACTTTTTCTCTAAATGGCCAGCTTTCTTATTATGTCCTGCTATCTGGGTGCAGAAATGTTGCGGAAAACAATTTAAGTGGAAATCTTCCATATTCTTTATCCAATATGGGCTCCCTTAATTACCTGTAAGTGGCATTTTTTCGCTAGTACATAACATAACTCTTTCTGTTTTCTCTTCTAGGCAGTTAGGTCATTTTTTTTCTGATGCGTTGAACTGTTATTCATGGTTTTAGGAACATCAGCCGAAACATAATGTCTCAGTCAATTGGAGATATGTTTGCCAATCATTCTGCTTTAGCCACCTTGTGAGCCACTCAGCCTTGTGTGTGTGTGTGTGTGTGTGTGTGTGTGTTCAATTCTTCTAGACTGCTGCCACTTCCTTTTTAGATTTGCACAGCTTACTTCTGAATTCGATCATTTTGAAAGCGTGAACTTATAATATAAGGTATTTCAATTTTCAGGGATATATCCTTCAACAGTTTTGCTGGAGATCTCCCACCTTCCTTCACGTCACTGACTAATCTCTCAACCCTGTGAGTTTTGCTTGACAATTTAATTATTCTCCATGCTTTTTTCCTCTTTGATTCCATTTTACGATTCCAACTTGCTATTGACTTCATTCGTATCAATTTTTTTGCAGTCTAGTACAGAACAATCAACTTACAGGTTCTCTCGACGTCCTCGTCGGTTTGCCTTTGACAACTTTGTAAGCATTATTACCTCCACAATTAGTTCCATTTAACTTTAACCAAATATGTGAATAAGCTAATGCTGTTAACCAAATTCTGCAGAAATGTCGCAAACAACCATTTTAGTGGCTGGATACCTCAAGAACTAATTTCAATACCGAACTTCGTGTAAGTTATGAAAAGAAAAAAAAAAAGTAATTTCATATTTATAAATCTTACCGTTTAACAAAATGTTTCACATTTTCTTCGACTTAAACCAGATACAATGGGAACACATTTTCTAATGGTCCTGCTCCACCTCCCCCACCTTACACTGCACCTCCTCCCGGTAGATCACGCAATAATAACGGGACACGATCTTCTCCTCCTCGACCTCATAATCCTAATGCCACGCATAACGAGCGTAAGAATGGATTGACAGCTGGCGCTATAGTTGGAATAGTTATCGGGTGTGGAGTTGGAGCACTACTTTTTCTGCTTGCACTTGTGTTTTGCCTTAGGAAGGGTAACAAGAAGGAAGTTGCGGCTCGACTCTCGACAGGAAGTCATACTGCCAGCATTGATAATGGTATTCAAAATATTTGCATCTTTATTATGTGCACATTTCTTCTTTGTGTTTGCATTGATAAGCGACAATTGAACTTGACTCATGGTTCAATAAAATTGTTGTATTCCTCTCATCAAAATGATGATAGCGTAATTTGGAACATGACTTTCTTTCGTAGTACAGTTGGCACTTTATTCATTTTCAACTCATTTTTAAAATTTCGGCATTATTTCTAGTGAGCATGGAGATGCAAACACAAAGGTCAAAGCCACCTTCATCTGCAACATTTGATCACTCGAAGCTTCCACCAGCTGAAACTGTTGCAATCGAAAGGTTGCAAGGGAAAAAAAGCGGATCTTTGAAAAGGGTAAAATCTCCACTAACTGCTACTTCATACACAGTTGCTGTGCTTCAAACTGCTACTAATAGCTTCAGCCAAGAGAATTTAGTCGGTGAAGGCTCTCTCGGTCGTGTCTATAGAGCCGAATTCCCCAATGGAAAGGTAAAAATAAAAAGAGATCGGTTAATATTTTCATTACCCTTTTTTTTCCGATGACAATATAATTTGACAGCTTTGCTGTATATATAAATATATTCAGATACTTGCCGTCAAAAAAGTCGACAATTCGGCATTGTCACTTCAGGAGGAAGATGATTTTTTCGAAGCCGTTTCGAACATGTCACGGCTAAGGCATCCAAATATTGTACCTTTGGTCGGGTACTGTGCCGAGCACGGGCAGCGCCTTCTTGTACATGATTATGTGGGTAACGGCTGCTTGCACGATATGCTTCACTTCGCTGACGATAGAAGTAGGATGCTGACGTGGAACTCACGGGTCAGAGTAGCTCTCGGGACTGCTCGAGCTTTGGAGTACGTGGAGTAGAATTAGTTTCGAATGTGTTCGAAAGCTTTGATACTACAATCTTATTTGGTTATTCCCTCTCGGTTGGATCTTAAACTTCCATTTTTATTTGGCTTTAGGTACTTGCATGAAGTGTGTTTGCCTTCGGTTGTTCATAGAAACTTAAAGTCGGCAAATATTCTTCTGGATGACGAGCTGAATCCTCACCTTTCAGATTGTGGATTAGCTTCTCTGACACCAAACACCGAACGGCAGGTAAATGACGAACGGGTAAATTCTGTTTTACATCAGGTTTATGGTAAACTACAATTACTACATTTGAACGGACAGGTAAATAAATAGAAGGGGTAAAAATTTTCTTGATAATAACGATGACAGGTGTCGTCGACTCAGATGATCGGCTCGTTCGGTTACAGTGCACCTGAATTCGCCTTGTCCGGAATATATACTGTGAAAAGTGACGTGTACAGCTTTGGTGTTGTTATGCTCGAGCTTCTGACTGGACGAAAGCCTCTAGATAGGTAACTAACTAAATCTCATTAATTTCACATGATCATAAACATTTGTTAAAAATTTTCACATTTTTTTTTCTGGTGTTCGAAATTTACATGACAATGTTCAGTTCAAGGTCGAGATCCGAACAGTCACTCGTGAGATGGGCAACTCCACAACTACATGATATCGATGCCTTAGCGAAGATGGTGGACCCCACCCTAAATGGCATGTACCCTGCAAAGTCGTTGAGCCGATTTGCTGACATCATTGCTATTTGTGTCCAGGTAATGTTCTATTTTCTATACATATAGGGCTGCAATCGAACTGAGCTGCTTGAGTCAAAGCTCGGCTTGAGCTCAAGTTTGACCAAACTCGAGCGGCTCGAGTCAAAGCTTGGCTTGAGCTCGAGTTTGACCAACTCGAGTGGCTCGAGCATGTTATCGAGTCAATCTCGAGCATAGGTTATGGAAGGTCGAGCCGCTCGCGAGCAAGTCGAGATATGTAGTGAATTACTAGAATACCCCTTATATATAAATATTACAATATTTTATATATGTACTTGATGGTAATTTTACTTGAAATTTGAGTTGCACTCGAGAAACTCTTCGAGCATTTCAATTTCAGTAATCTCGAGCCGAGCTCGAGCGATTGTCTTCTTTTGCCGAGTCGATCTCGAGTGTCACAAATCAAATTCAAGCTTGACGAGCTCGAGCAGATAAAAAAAAAATAAATAAAATCAATCGTAAGGCCAATGCTCGACTTGGATCAATTCGGTTGCAGCCCTAATTACAGATTTGTTCCTTGTTATGCAATGCTTTCTTTTTCCTGGTATTTCTATCATTCTTTCTAAATGAAACCGAAAGACCCTCGTACGCTGATTATTAAGAACTTGCTGTAATAAATATTTTTTGTAATGCACAGCCAGAACCCGAATTTCGACCCCCTATGTCCGAGGTAGTACAAGCGCTTGTCCGATTAATGCAGAGGGCAAGCATTGTGAAA